ATGGCTCTAATTAAGAGAAAACATTTTTGAATTTGAATTAACAAAATATACAACTAGGTGTTGGTATATGGGACACATTGGGAAAAAAGAATTGAAAGGAAAAAAAATGTAAATGATAACCCAAAGAAAACTAATGTGGCTAGGTTTATCTTAAACTAAATATGTTTTAAGATAAAATCATTACTAGAGGTACAGAATGTTCCACCATTAGAAAGGTATACTAATTTAACATTTTTACAAAATCACAGTGTAAAAATATACAAAGAAAAAAGCATAATGGAAATAAAGAAAATATAGAGTTGATAGATAAATAAAATACTGTATAGCCAAACTTATGTGGTGGAACTAAACTAGTACTTAGAGAAAAATGCATAAAAAACTGAAAAGAGAAGCAAGAAAGGGTATGAGTAACCTCAAGTGGGGTTGGAATAAGATAGAGATAAGACAAATCTAGCTGTTAGTTTCAGTTTTTACTAAGCAATGTGAGTCAAAGTAGTATTTTTAATTTGAGATAAGAAAGCAAAACCCCAGTAAATGCCCTCTATACGTACATCTTAACTCAGTTGGGGATACCATTTCCTACTCAATATATCATCAGATCTTCTCCAGAATAATCTAAAAGTTCCTATAAGATCATTCATCTTCCGTTCATTACCTCCTAAAATTATTTTACAGAATAACCAAAGCATTTTTATAAATATTAATAATATCATGTTACTTTCTCTTAAACTGCTTAAAGTGTTGTTTTGTTTGTTTGTTTGTTTGTTTTGATCCTCACCCTAGGATATGTTTATTGACTTTAGAGAGAGAGGAAGGGAGAGAGAAAAAGGGAAGCATCAGTGTGAGATTGTAACAATAATAGGTTGCCTTCCATACGTGCCCCAAACGGGGATTCAACCAACAAGCTAGCTATGTGCCCTGACTGGGAATGGAACTCACAACTTTTTCGTGCATGAGATGATACTCCAACCAACTGAGCCACCTGGCCAGGGCTAGAGTGGCTTTTTAATCTCGATGTGACCTGATTCCTGTGCTCTCTGAGTTTATCCCCTACTATTTCCTTAGAAATGTTTTCATGTAAAACTAATATTCCTTTTACAACTTGGTGCTTTTGTTTATGCAAAAAATTAAAAGCTTACTGGATGGCTGTGATTTTACATCATTTTGCAATCTAAAAATCCTAAGTAATTGTAATATTAAGGAAAACGTTAATATTCTAAAAGAAAATGTAGCATCTGTATTTTTGGTGACACCTACTTCCCATTGAAGTTTTACTCAAGAAAACTAATTTCACAGGGTCTAACCTAGTCAATATTTAAAGACTATGCACACATTTATGTATTCTATGTTAATTTTATTATTATTATTATTATTATTATTATTATTATTATTATTACCCTTCACCTTCAGGTGATAACAGCTACCTCCACCCTTGCTTTGGGAATTAACATGCCATGTAAATCTGTTGTTTTTATGGAAGATTCTGTTTTTTTGGATGCCTTGAACTTTCGACAGGTATTTATACAACCTTCCTGTGTTATATTTGCATATTAGGGATTGGGAACATTTATTCAGTAAGCTAAAATAAAACCACACGTACTTTAAAACATTTGGACTAAAATAACACAATGTTTTAAAATGATTCTGGATATATGACATTGTATGAGTATGGTTACATTTAAAGACATTTTGAACACTTATTGATTGGCTAAATAGATTAGTTTACCTGAGAATATTCCTGCTTTGATAAATATTATTGAAAACAATAATAATAGAAAGAAGAGGTAACCACATCTTCTGAGAACCCAAAGGTGCTAAGCACCTACAATTATAATTTGAGTGTCTAAATACATTGGTAAATAAGACAGAAATTGCCCCTGCTTTAAAAGTCATGATCTGAAAACAGAGGCATTTCTTAAACAAGCAAGCACACTTTGATAATATATTTGTAAAGTAAAATAATATATTGAACTTTGCTAAAATTAATATACCAAGCAACAAAGACTCTTACAAGATTTTTGAAAGTTTAATGTTTCATGTGGTATAGGTAAGTTAAATATTAACTATTTATAGAGACAAGACTTGAAATGATTTAAAAGTGTTATGTGATCATCTCTTTAGATGTCTGGTCGTGCAGGAAGACGGGGAGAAGATCTTATAGGAAATGTGTTCTTCTATGATATTCCATTACCTAAGATAGAAAGGCTCTTAAAATCGAATGTGCCCAAACTGAAAGGTCAATTTCCTTTAAGTATATCCTTGGTTCTCAGACTTATGCTTTTAGTTGCCAAAGCAGATGACAAGGAGGATGCCAAAGCAAAGGTACACTGTTACATTTTATTTAAATAACTTGAATAAACATAATTATTTAAGCTCAATTTTATGTTATATAATTTACATAAGTTGAAGGGAATAAAATATTAATGTGCTATAAATAAACTCCTGTAACATTTGATTCTACTTTATAAATACCCTAATTCTGCCCAAAAACATGCTTTTAATTTTCATGCTTTCAAACATTTGGAAAATTAAGCCCCTGGTTGTCCTGTTATAATTACCCCTGGGTTCTATATATATATTAGAAAAGAAACATTTTTTTCTGTAATTATATGTGGTTTAAAAAATTAAAAACAAAAAAAAATTCAAAGAAATAACTAATGGTTAAAAAATATAAAAGACTGAAACATTCATAATTCTTGGTTTTACATTTTTATACCATACTAGAGGTCCAGTGCACAAATTCGTGCACAGGTGGGGACTGTCCGGTCCACCACGATGGGGGCCCATCGGGCTGGGCCAGCAGTGGGGAGGGGCTGCGGGTGGTTGGCTGGCCGGCCTGCCCCTGACCAGGGTGTTGGGGGCCAATTGGGGCCTGGCCGGCTGGGGGGGGGGAGCAATTGGGGCCTGGATCAGGCTGGTTGAGTGCTGCAGTGTATGTCATAGCCACCAGTCATTCCAGGGTCATTCTGGTCATTCCGTCATTCTGGTTGCTGGGCTTTTATATAGAGAGATTTTACTTGTCACTTATCATACATTAAAGTGTAATTACTTATTTTTTTCTCAAGAATTTATTACCATTTCTATTACACAGATATACAATATAAAACATTATGGGATGCATAATTAAAATAAATAATAATTACAGTAATATAATAAAGCAATATTCAATGCCTAATTAAAAATATAAAAAACATGCCTAGCTGGTTTGGCTCAGTGGGTAGAGTGTTGGCCTGCAGACTGAAGGGTCCCAGGTTCTATTCTAGTCAAGGGCACATGGCCAGGTTGCGGGCTTGATCCCCAGTAGGGGGTGTGCAGGAGACAGCCGATCAATGATTCTCTCTCATTGATGTTTCTATCTCTCTCCCTTCCCTCTGAAATCAATGAAAACATATTTAAAATATATAAAATCATATAATTTATTATAAGTAGTACATAAGTATATATAGCACCCTGTTCTATAATAGGAATGTTTAGTTGACTTTTGTATATTACATTGGAAGACACACTATAAAATGTGCTTAACATCTAACTTGATGTTTTGATATATGTATATATAGGCATTGTCGGTTCTCCAATATTCATTGATGTCCTTCAAGCAACCAAAGATCAATTGCATGTTAAAGTTTTATTTTATATATTCTTTGCAATTCTTGGTCAGAGAGGTAAGATTTAAACCTATTTCCACAAAATTAAGGTGTTAGTACATATGTTTAACTCCACTGTACTAAAAGATATTTTATTAACAACTTCTTTGATTGATATTGCTGAGAACTACAGACCAAGGTTAACATGACAAAATTAATTTCTAGGAATATCTGAATCTAGAATGTATTCCCATTGGTTATTCTGGTCTCGTGTCACATTTGCACTACCATGAACCTGCAAACTTTGTTTTAGTAAGCTTGCTGAAGAAACGCTTATTTCACAAGCTGTGTGTTCCAACCAAGATAAAAGGTAAGCAGTTACCACTTTCCAAACATTTACTCATTAAATGTGTGCACAGACACACGGAGCACATGTGTAGTTACATATGACCATATATTCCTCAGAATGCATTCACTTTGGAAGGTGTGACTTTCTAACTGTGTTTTCTCTTAGTGTACTTTGAACATTTTTCTTATTTTATAACACTATATGTTTATAAAAATATTATTAATATATGCATGGTATATTTTTAAAATACTGTAAATATTCTAATGACTATTTAATGTGCTTCAAATTAAAAAATAAAACCTTAGAATAATAAATATTATTATTCAAGAATTATAAGGCATATATATATATATATATATAGTCTGTTGAAATAAATTATAATAATATATGTAAAATCACTAATTTATCCTTTTTTTATATTTTATTGATTTTTTACAGAGAGGAAGGGAGAGAGATAGAGAGTTAGAAACATCGATGAGAGAGAAACATCGATCAGCTGCCTCCTGCACATCTCCCACTGGGTATGTGCCCGCAACCCAGGTACATGCCCTTGACCGGAATCAAACACGGGACCTTTCAGTCCGCAGGCTGACGCTCTATCCACTGAGCCAAACCGGTTTCGGCTAATTTATCCTTCTTATTCCTGGCCATTGACATGAAAAACAGGCCTCTTTGTGATATCCTCACATTTAGGTACTAATCATTAGCTGTAAAATAGTAAAATATATAGCTAACAGTTCAAAATCACATGTAACTGTAGGAATATATTGGCATTGCAATATTATCCTCTGTAATTATTTCCTTTTATTAATTGTAAATTATTTTTTCTCTTTTCCATAACTTTGACATAATAAAATTTAATTTGCTATAGAGAGAAGTAAAGTGATCTGTTCTAAATTCAAATGAACTCAAATATATAATTAATATCCTATTGTTGATTTTATTTTCAGTAATTTACTAACTTTTGTTAAAATGACATTAAAAATAATTAAAATATTATATTTACTTCAGAACTACTAATATATCAAACTATAAAAACTTTAATCCATTATTAATCTATAGTTCTTCATGAAAGGATCATAGAAAATAATAATCACTAAATTTTACTTATTTTATAAATTCTGTGAGTAATGTATCAAAAAATTAAAGGAACCCTCCCCGGCCTTCCTGCTCTTGTTTGACAGTCTGTTCAATGCTGCTCAGCCTCTGTATCTATTTTTGTTCATCAGTTTATAAAAACGGGAAGGGTTGGGGGAGGGGTAAGAGATCAACCAAAGGACCTGTATGCATGCATTTAAGCATAACCAATGGACACAAGACACTGTGGGGTAGGGGAGGCCAAGGGAAGGTCAAGGGGGAAAATAAAAAGGAGACATATGTACTACTCTTTGTAATATTTTAAGCAATGAAAGAAAATTTAAAAAAATTAAAGGAATAAAAAAACAACTGAAAGAAATTACTATAATGTTATCAATATAAACACATCAATTTAAGGTGCTTTTGTTTGTTTGTTTGCTTGCTTGCTTGAAATCTGGGAGCTCACTCTCCATGTTCTGCATTTCTCCAGCAGTTGAGTCAGTTGTGGCTTATTTCCATGTTCTCACATGAAGGGCTATCAGTGTGGGCATGGCACTCTGTTAGCTATGGCTCCCAATTGAAAATCGGAAATCAGACATAGGTTTTCCCTTGAAATTTAGTCGCTAAAATATTGCAGGAATTTGCTCATATGGAAACATAGGAAACAAATATTCCAGGGAGAGAAGTAACAGGAGCATGTCAATAGGTGTAGTTGCGAACCTTTTTTGTAATGTAATGTGTGCCAAGAGCAGAGTGGGTGTGGTTAACATCTGGCCTCAAATAGCAGATAAGGAATTTGGAAAGCAGCATAAGGCCTTCATTCCTTAGTAGGTTTTGAAGAGAGGTGGAAAAACTGAGTAGAACAAAGTAGCAAAGGGAGGATTTAAAGCCCATGATGGAGTCCAGGGCAATTCCAGAATTAAAGGCCAAATGGTTGTTTGTTTATTTTTTCCTTCAGCTAATAATGGATTTAGTGATACCAAGAATCTGTTAGTAGGAGGTCAATTAGTCTGTATTATTATAAAGTAACACTAGAGGCCGGGTGCATGAAAATTCATGCACTGGAGGGGGGGGTCCCTCAGCCCGGCCTGCCCTCTCTCACAGTCTGGAGCCCTCAGGGGAGGGAGGTGACCCAGCGATCAGGGGAAGGCGACGCCCCATCACACCTCTACTGCTGCCACTGCCGGCAGTGCAAGCCTCAGTCAGCACTGGTTACCTGAGCCTCAGGTGGCCCTGGGAGGCTGGGAAGCCGCTATCTAAGGCTTGCCTGCGCCTCGGATGTCAGCTGGGCAGCCTCCATCTGAGGCTTGCCTGTGCCTCAGGCCAGCCCTGGGTGGCTGGGGAGCACCCCAGTGAGGCTGAGGGGACTGGGCGCTGCCATCTTGTGGCTGTGGGCGCCACCATCTTTGAGGGCGGGGCAGTCAAGTAGCATATTCCCTTCTTACTGGCTGTGAGCGCTGCATTCTTTGAGGGCAGGGAAGTCAATTAGCATATTCCCTCCTTATTGGCTGTGGGCACCGCCATCTTTGAGACAGCATGAGGGCCAATTAGTATATTCCCTCTTTATTAGGTAGGATTATAATTTATTAAAAAATTCACCAAACATCTGGAAAGTGACTTTTTCAAAGGTGTCTTACCTTGAAATTTTAAGTATAGCTATTAAGAACTGACATCATTATATTTCTAAAATGATGAATTTTGTTCTCTGAAGTTTTGAAAAATTAAACCCCTTATTTTAAACAGGCCAAAAGAGCTTTTCTGAAGAAGTGATGGAAACATTAGTGGTGGTGTTAGCAAATCTTTTTGGAAGACATTATCTTCCTCCCTGTGTGAAAAACTTTAAAAAGGAATTTTCTCATTCAGTGGTAAGAAAAAATATATAACCATAACCTTGCAATTCAATGTAACATTTTTCCATTATAACATGCAATGCCATCGTATTTTCCTATAATAATAAAATTTTGCTGTGATTGTCTAGAGTTACCTCTTAACCGTGTCTCAGTCAGTTCTTGGTATAAAGCGACTTCTCAGATGAGGAAAAGATTTAGGTCTTGTTTAAAAAAGGAAAACTTTATTCCTGTTAGAGATTTTTAGCAAGTGAATAACATAGAACATTTTATTACACTATAGATAATTTCAATCATTACATTTAATGGTGAAATAATGGCCACAGTAACATTTAATTTGAAACAAGAAGACATGAATGCTCAGTTTAACAGCCATTGGCAATCACTGTCCTGGGAATTCTACTCTTTGCCAAATGACAAGAAAAAATATGCTATAATTATGGGAAAGGTGAGCATAGTGAACATGAAGTACGGTAAGGTACACACATAGGAGGAGTTGAGGTTTAGTGGCAGATTTATTGGAGGGAAAACAAAGGACCAGGTACACCATGCCCGATGTCTCATCCATGCCAGATGGCTCCACTCCTTCTCGCTGTAGAAGAAGAAGTCCAGCCTATGGGTCCCCAGGCCCACACTTGCCCCCACCAAGCCCAGGAGGAGGGCCAGGATGCAGAACTGCATGACATTAATCCTCATCCAAGGCTCCAGTGTTCCAGCAATCCAGCAAACTCTCTGTTCCTATCTGGTCCACATTTGGTGCTTCCACTTGGCTAAATCAGCAGTTCTCAACCTGTGGGTCGCGACCACTTTGGCGGTCGAATGACCTTTTCACAGGGGTCACCTAAGACCATCCTGCATATCAGATATTTACATTCCGATTCATAACAGTTGCAACATTACAGTTATGAAGTAGCAATGAAGATAATTTTATGTTTGGGTCACAATATGAGGAACTGTATTTAAAGGGCCAGAAGGTTGAGAACCACTGGGCTAAAGGGAGAAAGTGTATGGGTGCTACCAAGACGGGCCTTTGCCTTGGGCTTGGGCAAGAGTAGGCTTCCTTTTAAAATATCCAATCACTTTCTTTTATCTTCTGGGGGCTATGCTGGCCCCTCCCCATTTCCTGAATCTCCTGGGGTTTTGTGCCCTTATTCTCTCAGGTTCTTTTCCCCGATTTTTCGATCCTAGACTCCTCCACTTCATGGTCACCACTGTGGCTCCTACTGCACATGCCTCAAAGTTCTGCTTCCTCATCTGGCTTCTACTGTGCTTGTGCCCAGCAGAGGAATTTCCCCCTAGGGACAAGTACAGGCCTGTGGACCCAGAGGCTGGAGTTCTTCTGCAGGGAGAAGTCACCTGGTCTTGGATGAGACAGTGGACATGGTGTTTATCCCTCCCCCTGTAATCCAGTTGTTCCCTGGGGAAGACGGTCTTTCTGCCTGCTTGGGACTTTGGCCAAGGATGTACCTACCCCTGGGTGTCTGTGAAGCTGTAGCTTCCTAGTGGATCAGGCTTAGCCAGTTTAGCTCCCCTCTTTAATACCTAACTCACTATCTACTGTAACAGTAGGATCACAAGGGATTTTAGTTTTTTATTTATACTTTTATAAATAATAGAATTTAAACTATATTCTCATCCAGAGTTTTAAATATATTATGACCCCGTGTCTCACAGGCTTTGGTAATCTTCTGCTTTAAAAAAAAACACACACAAAACAACAATAATCAAATTTATTGTTCCTAGGTAGTTCTAGATGATCTTCCCAAGGAATTTGCTGCAGTGGTAAAGGAACACAACACCAGAATTCAAGAGAATTTTGGTTCCTTCCTCCTAACAATTTCCAAGTTGGCTGACATGAGAAAAGAATCCCAACTACCTCTCTCAGAAATTGGTAAGATTGTGACTGTACATAAAGAGAATGTGAAGTCCATAAAAGAAAATAAATGTAAATATATTGAGATAAAACTAACTTTACAAAATAAGGACAAAACTATTGCAATAAGAATGCACAGGAAATTAGCATAATGTTTCAGATCTATGCTGTGGAAATCATATAATTTGAAATTAGCTAAGTCACCCTAGATTTGATTTAACACTAAATACTTAAAACATTTCTATATTTTCTGATGTCATTATAAGCTGGTCTAAACTTATTCTAAAGCATCTCCTTTCCTATTGATGCTATTTTTTAAGTAGGTATTGATGCTATTAAGTAGTTAAATTTTCAAATCTGAATTACTTTTGGGAATACAAGAAAAGGAATATTGGCATATTTGTTAGTGGTCATCAGTATTCTGTACTTCCTTGAGTACTAGGTTGGACATTAAATAAATTAAGGCTTTGCCCATGTCTTTGAGTAAAGGATAGAATAAATGAAAAAGAAAATAAAAATGTAAGAAAAATTCAGTAATGTATTCCAGATAAAGTAAAGGGTTTGGAAGTAGAGAATACACCCAGGACCCCCAAATGGAAAGATAGAAGGATTGAGAGCTAAGAAGAAAATGGGAAGGTAGCAGAATTCTGTTTTTCAAAAGAATCAGAAGAAAAATAGGAGAAAAATAAAAAGGAGCAGTAAGGACTGATTTGGTTTATTCATATATCTAGATAGCATATTATATTGGAATGTAGAGGCTTATGAAGGACAAAGAGAAAATAGTCAGTTAATTCAACCATGGAATGAGAAATTAGCTGGTAATGAGTCAACTTCATGGAAAAGAATGTAAATATTCCTGTTACCAGAGAATCAAACTCCTCTGTCGCTCATGGGAGCGAGGTTCTTGAAGTACCCCTGAAATAAGAATTTTCAGAAGCCCCCACCGGAGAATGAGATGTGGGAAAAGGGACTTTATTTGTGTGAAGTTACATTTCTCAGGTTTCAAAATCCTATTTCCCTTAAGCCAGTCCTGAAAGAGGTGCAGCTGGGGCTCCGGTAGAGCCGAAAGCAAGGCCAGAGTTTCTGTTCCATGTTGCAGCCAGGTATAGGTCAGCATCCAAGCTAATTAAAGTCCATTAGTCCATTGTGGGAGTCCCACATGGCTGTGGGCCACATGGGTGCAGAAGAGCACAGACCCCCACAACAGGAGCCCCAGGAGCCTCGTGCTTGTGTGTGAGAGAGTAAAAACCAAGAGAACAGAGAGTGTGTTCTTTGTTTAGAAGTTTAAATATTCAGGTTTCTCAAGCTTGCAGTGGCCACGCTCACCCTGGCCACTGACTTGTTTCCAGGTGTGACTGACAGGGAAGCACCTTTCCACATCACTCAGACCTTACTGGGCATGTGTCTAAACTGCCTTTGTCCAGTCCCTTCCCTCATCAATCAGTGGGAATAGATTTGGAGAGTGTTAAATGCAGCTTTTTGGCAAAGCTGTATAAATGGCATACCTATGGTATCTAGCCTTCCCTTCACTCCTTTCCTGTTAAATAACAACCAGGTTATTACAATGGCATCATTCCCAAGCAGTTACCTACATTTGGAACTTGGAGGTGTAAATGCAATGATATTTCTTCTCCGTTTTTCTCTCAGATGATTACTGTGGCAGGCAGAAAAATGGCCTCTCCTCAAAGACATCTGGGTCCTAATCCTGGGAACTTGAGAATATGTTATGTAGCAAAGGGGAAACTAAGATTTCAGATTGAATTACATTTTTAATCAAGTGACCTTGAGATGGGAAGACTATCCTGGATTATACTAGTATGTGTGGACTAAAGTAATCATAACAGCCCTTTTCAGTAAAAGAGAGAAGCAGAAGAATCAGAGTTAGAAAGAGGTGACATGAGAAAGATTTGACCAATCACCACTGGCTTTGAAGATGGAAGGGGCCACAAACCAAGGACTGTACAGCAGCCTCTAGAAGCTGAAAAGGGCAAGGAAATAGATTCTCCACTAGAGCCTCCAGAGAATAAACACAGCTCTGACTACACCTTGGTTTTAGCTTAGTGAGACCCGTTTTAGAGTTCTGATTTCCAGAATCATAAGATAATACAGTTGGATTGCGTTAAACCATAAGATAATTTGCTACATCAGCATTAGTAAACAAATATAATTTATGAGAAATGACATGGGAATAAATAATACTGACAAATAATAGGCATAATTTTCCCAAAGATTTTTTTTAAAATTGAGGTGAAATTCATATACACAATATACAATTATGTAATTTCCAAGTACAATATAATACTGAAGTAGCATTTGGTTCAGTAAAATGTTGTGCAATTACCACCTCTAATTAAAACAAATAATGCAGATAATTATAATTGTTAATAATTGAGAGGTTACTTATAATAAATCCTAGTCATACATTTAATTTTGCATGCTTAAAAGTCAAACATTAGACATTTGTATTTTTCACCTAAATTGGGATCAACTGAACAATTTACAAGGGAAAAATGTGGAAAAAGTTGAATTAGAAAACATGGAAACATGGTATGTATCTTCTGAGTAATCAGTTGAATCTTAAGCAGAGATCAAAAGACAAATAGAAAGGCCAACAGAGCCTAACCGGTTTGGCTCAGTGGATAGAGCATCGGCCTGCGAACTGAAAGGTCCCAGGCTCGATTCTGGTCAAGGGCATGTACCTTGGTTGCGGGCACATTCCCACTAGAGGTGTGAAGGAAGCAGCTGATCAATGTTTCTCTCTCATTGATATTTCTAATTCTCTACCCCTCTCTCTTCCTCTCAGTAAAAAATCAATAAAATATATATTTAAAATAAAAAAGAAAGGCTGACAGAGAAAGACACAGAGAAGTGTGTGTGGGAAAGGTAGAAATACATAGAGGAATAGATCCATAGAGTGACACACAGGGAAGGAGAAGAGAGAGAGAGAAAGAAACAGAAATAGAGAAATAGGAAGAGACAAACACATGGACAGAAAGATAGGAGAGAGACATACAGACTAAGAGAGTGAGACAGAAAATAGACAACAATAGAGAAAAGTACAAAAGAACAAACATGATAGACAAAGGGAGGCAGAGAAAACAACAGAATAGAGGCAGTGAAGTATTCAAAGGGAAACAATGAGACACAGAAATAAGAGTGTTATTGTCACAGAAAAAAGTCAGAGAAGGAAGAAGTAGAGGAAGATAGAAGGGAAGAGGACAGACAGATGACAGATGATAGATAGGTAGGTAGATCGATAGATAGATAGATAGATAGATAGATAGATAGATAGATAGATAGTAGGGGACAATTTAAGATGGACATGACAATAGCTTCTTTCCCAAACTCACCACTCAGTTCTGGGGTGACATCCCAAACTCACCACTCAGTTCTGGGGTGACATGAGTGAGCTCCACAAGACCTAGAAATGTTCCTCTGTTATATTTGCCTCCTGACGAATGAAGTAGGGATTTCCTCCCTTCTGCTGGAATATGAATAATAATAGCATCAGTGTAAGACAGTGGGCATGATGTCAACTTTTAATCCTATTATGAGTAATTTTGCAATTTTTATAGGTCCATAGGATCTTGAGAAGAATGAACTGATAATGAAATTCTTTCTAAAGTTCAGGTGGATGCCCCTGGTTTTTGACCTGGGGTCCTCAGATCCACTAATGTCCAATGAAGCATGCTTTCTGCTTTGTCAGTAGTGTCTTTCTAATGTCTGAGTGGATAGACAAGGACTTACCCAATTGGACCAATTGATAACTACAAAAAAATAGAACCACTAGCAGATGCCAGAATGATTTTAGCTTATGAAGGTCTTCTCAGTGATCATCTGGCAATACAACTCTTAAATTTTCCTCTCAAATACTTTTGTGTTTGTTTTTAAACAAATAATTTGCCTAGTACTAATGGTACAAACAAGTATGATTTGTTTTAAATCATTTAGTTTAATTATTTTCTTATTTGATTTTTCATTTGATTTCTTATTAGACTTTTCAGGTAAAGAATGTGAAGACTCTGAACTGGTTTCTCATTTGATGCCTGGGACCGAGAGCAGAACTGCAGTCTCCCCATTTGCTTGCCTGTCCAACATAACAGATCAAGATTTATTTGATGTTGATGTGATAAATGATGTATGTAAATTTTGATGTGTAACTTTCTTGTATCCTGTTTATCATTTAAGAGAAATAATTTTATTGATTATAATACTAGCTAAGAGTCCAGTAAAACACCGCCATCTTATTCATATTCTATAATGGTAGTTGTTTTCATTGAAGTGGGGGGGAAATGTTCTCTCTCTTTTTTTTTGTATACATAAGTAGTTTTAAAATAGAAAAATTTATTTAGATAACAAAAATAATGTTATTTTCTCAGTTAATAATCATGTATGAATTATGTTATCTTACTTATGTGAATCACTATAGCATAAGCCCTTACCACTCCAGGTGTGAACCAGAGACTGGCAACATCAGTGTCACCTGCTAGAAATGAGGAATATTGGGAGCTATCTCAGAACAATTACGTTCAAAATACACATTAACATGAAACAGACTTGTAGATAGAGAGAACAGACTGATGGTTGCCAGAGGGGAGGTGGATTGGAGGAGGGATGGAGAAGGTGAAGGGATGGAGGTGAAGGGAAGGTAAAAGGTGAAGGGATGGAGAAGTACAGATTGGTAATTAAAAAAATAGTCATGGAGATGTAAAGTACAGCATAGGGAACGTAGTCAATAATAACTATGTATGGTCCCAGATGGGTCCTGGAAATATTGAGGGGAACATTTTGTGAAGTATATGATTGTCTAACCACTATGCGTACACCTGAAACTAATACAAAATAATACTGAACATAAACTGTAATTGAAAAAAATAAAAATGTTAAAAAATAGAATAAAACAAAACAAAACATTGGTGCCCTGCTATAAACTATTTGAGGCAGATTGTATTTGCTTCACTTTTGTGATCCCTGCACCTAAAAATGGTGCTCAGTGAAGAGTAGAAACTCAATACTTACATATTAAGCACTTTTAAAAAATATATATTTTTTTTATTGATTTTAGAGAGGGAGGGAGGGAGAGAGAGTAAGAGAGAGAGAGGAACATCAATGATGGGAGAGAATTATTGATTGGCTACCTCCTGCACGCCCCATACTGGGGATCAAGCCCGCAACCCGGGCATGTGCCCTGACCACGGAATCGAACCATGACCTCCTGGTTCACAGGTTGATGTTCAACTACTGAGCCATGCTGGCCGGGCCATATCAAACACTTTAATTTTTAAAATTGACACAAGAGCTGCTTCCTTTACTGCCCCACAAGATTGGGAGTAATGAGACTGCCAGTCCTACCTTCACCCCTGACAGCTTATCCATAGCATGTTGGTGGAAATAAATTTCAATGACTGTGAGTATATCCTTGGACAAAACCAGATACTTATATCCTGCAGGACAAAATAGATGTATGTGGGGAGAAAAAAAGAACAAGCACTATTATTGTTGCATGTAGCTGATCCTATCTAATGAAAGGGTGATATGCAAATTAACCATCACTCCGTCACAAAGATGGAGGTGCCCATAGCCACAAGATGGTGGTGCCCAGTCCCCTCAACCCTGCTGGAGTCCCCCAGTCCCAGGGGGGCCAGGCTGGGCGCAGAACACTTGCGTTCCTTGCAGGCCGGGCCTCTAGTACCAATATAAGTTTGTAAGCTCACAAATACCTTTTCAGGAAAAATTATTTTAAAAATATTTGTAATATATTTCTGAGATGATAAAAGTGACTATGTCTCTTCAAATTCTGAATAAGTTAGATATATAGTTTTTGTGATTTTAAAAATAGTTTTAATATTTTGAATATCGATGTTTTACTGACTTTATTTGGTCACTTATGTTCAAGTTTGGAGAACTTTAAAACACTGAGCATTTGACAATATTTTATTTAAATATATTGGGTTGTTTCAGTTAGCTAGATGTCATGAACCACAATAATCAAGTTTTATAATAGATTGAAGCATATCTCAAAAGAAAATGCTAACAGTCTAAAATCTCTGCATTCCTCAGGCTAAGTTACGAACAATTGATGTGAATGTTCAAAACATCCCTTTCCTTTGCTTGAATAAATATGATACGAATGGAAGGAAGTGTCCATTGAATGGTTATGTATTGAACTTCTATAAAAACCGTTCCCTGTCAGCACTAACTTTGGATAATTGGTATGACTTTTTCTATTTTAACATCTTTATACTAGTAGACATATGTGTGTTTGTGTAATTAATGTTTGTTGTGCTGTGGCATTGTAACTTATGAGGATGATTTTAAGGTGCAATGACTTAAGAAGAGTCATAAAGATGCATTTTACTCAAAACTATTTTAAAATACTACTTATTATTGAGGGGAAGTTCACATAACATAAAAATAACCATATGAACGTGAACAATTTGGCCACATTTGGTACATTCATAATGTTGTACAACAACCACCTCTATCTAGCTGCTAAACATTTTCCTTAAACCAAGGGTATAAGTTGGATGATGCTTATTTTTTTATCCATTTGACCAGTCTTTTTCTTTTCATCGAGTAAGTTAATTCATTTACATTTAAAATAATTACTGATGAGGAAGAACTTACTTTTCCATTTTTGTATTTGCTTTTTATGTCTTATACCTTTTTTTGTTTCTACGGGATAATTTCTGATAATTTTATCAATGGGCACATTTTCTTGTTTCTTCTCAGGCTTCAAAATTGTTTTTGAGAACTGTACATTTGAATATTAAAACGTTGTATTTCTGAAATTTTCTCTATTTTCAGGTTTTGTTGTTTTTGTTTCTAGCTGTTCACGATAGCTATTGTTTTGCTTAGTGGCTTTTCTAAATAAATTTTTTAAAGTCTGTATTCTTCATTGTGTGTGATCTCTGAAGTCCTTGTTTCTTTAGTTTGTATTCAGCTAGTGTTTTGATGAAGATGTTTTTGAACACAAGAAGGGGGGGAGAAGAGGAAGGAGGAAGAGGAGAAGAGGGGGAAAAAGAAGAAAAAATTTCTCCCAATTTTTGCAGTTTTGCTCTATGTTAAGATACTCCTATCCGCACTAAGTTTATTGACAATTCTGCCTTACCCTTCACTTCCTGCTTGCACTAATCTTAGAGACCAGCCAGGGGGTCTTCTCAGGTCTTTCCTGAGCATGCGTCCTGCCCTAGGTATGAGAATGGTTTTCTAAATGTTTAATATACTGGTTACTCTTTCCCAGCTTTTTCTCACAGGCTTTCATTATTCAATCATTTTGACCCAATTGCAATCTTTCGCCCTAGGCAGCTGCAGTAGTTCCCCTGACTTTTCATTTGTCCTTCCTGAGTTTCAAGCTAGGCCAAACAAAGACAAGCGCCTCACCTCAGGCCTTCACACAGTTCCCAGACAGGTTAGAACAGACAGATGAACACACCCCTTGTTAATAAGGTCAGCTCTGCTCCCCCTGGAATCAGGGGTCAGGGCCACACTGGGAATACAGACTGCCCCTGTGCTGGAAGAACTGTAGGGAGAGGGCAAATAAAGATCTCACAAAGCTTTCCCCTACCTTTTCTAACCTTTTTATTATTTGAGTTAAACCTTTGACTGTTTTCCAGAGTTCTAACAAGGTTGATTTCTGACAGTTCCTGCATATATATATATATATATATATATATATATATATATATATATATATATCACATATATACGTATAATACATATATACATATAATATATATGTGTAGTATATATATTGATGTTTCTGTGAAAAGATGGGTCCTTGGAGCTGCCTACACTGCATTATCAGTGACATCTCTTATTTTGGCACTGTTTTGAACATGTGTGAAATACTTAAATTCAGTAATAATAATATGCTGATTTATGAAAACTGCAAGTCATAATTTTTTTATAGAAATATTAGCCTCTACTAGTTTAGTCAATTTAGGAGTAGAATGAGCATAGTGAAATACTGGGTGCAAAGGACACAAACACTTCTCTGCAGTCTTTCCATATGTGTTTTTATTTTTTGTGGAAAGGTCAGAATTAGGTAGTCATTTATTATTTCCTTTACTGTAGATTGATAACACACCAAAAAGCAATGTATTCTTTAAATGTTACTTTGTCTTTTCCCCCCCATAGGTTAAATATGGGAGATGCTTTTACTCTTATCAGGGATTTTGCACTGACTGTTCAGTCCATCAGGTATAGTAAACATTTTTGCATTTAAAGATCCTATAACCAGCTAAGTACCATTAAGTAGAAATAACAATGGTAATAATTTAAACATTAATCTTTTACAGGATTTCACTGAGTGAATTATGTGATGATGAAGATGACAATGTTCTGTTAGCATTTAAACAGCTGAGTAAAGCATTCCATTCAATCTTAGGAAAAAAAGCAATAGACTGAATATTACATTTTACTCAAGTACTGTGCTCCTAGAAAACAGAAATAGCCAAGAAATGTTCTTGCCCTTTTGTGTCTCACAAAATGGTTTACCGCAAAGAACCACCCTTTCTTCTGTGACATAGATTAGATTTACAGGTAACACCCTTGTGTTCCTATGACAATCTTCAATATACACTCCCAACTCCCATTCTTTGCCTCCTAAATGATTAGCTGAACTGTTTTCTCCTGCTGACAAAAACCTGCTTGCTTGCCTTGACCAACGTTAGTTAGGCTTCTCCCCTCCCCACAGGTCCTGACCCTTAATCTACCCTTAAGGCCTTCCTGAAAATCACCTAGAGGCATTCTCAGATCAGCTATCCCTGATCAACTGTCCAATCTCAGAGCAACTATGACTAGGAAGCTCAACCAAAGACATTCCCAGATCACCACACATTCATGCCATTTCTTATACATAATTGTTTCTAGCCTTGTTTTTCTATCCATAGAAATTAAAATTATGTTCTGACTGACCTTGGACCACCAAAAATCTCACAGGCAGGGTGCTTTCCTATTTCATTAGCCCCCCTTTTCCTATTGCACTAGGCCTCTCCACTTGTTGTAGTAATTGTGTGTTTTTCTTCAAATAAAGTCTCTCATCATTTAAGTCTGGATTTGTTTTTTATTTGATTTTCTTTCTGTGCTGATGAAATAAAATGTATTACCTAGCTAAAGTGTAGATTTCACAATTTATTGAACAACTTATTGAAAGATGTCATTGAGGAAATTTTTTATTTAAATATCTAAATTCTCAACAGCAATTCTAACAATTTTTTTCTTCCAAGAATTTTAGCTTATACAGTAGCTATGTCAAATGTCTTGAACAATTATTATTTTCAGCTTTAAATGTAATGATATTTTAAAAGATAGAAACCAAGCTCAAGTTAAAATAATATAACATCATATACCATAGCAATAAGTTGAATTATTTTATTTTTCAACAGTTTATATTCAATATTATTTTGAATTAGTTTCAGGTTTATAGCATACTGGTTTGACAATCATATACTTTACAAAGTGATCCTCCTGATATTTCAAATATTCACCTGGCACCACACATAGTTATTACAATATTATTGATATATTCTCTACACTGTACTTTACATTTTGTGTAACTGTGACTATTTTGTAACTACCAATTTGTTCTTAATCCCTTTACCTTTTTTTTAATTAAAATATATTTTATTGATTTTCTTTTTACAGAGAGGAAGGGAGAGAGATAGATAGTCAGAAACATCGATGGGAGAGAAACATCGATCAGCTGCCTCCTGCACATCTCCCACTGGGGATGCGCCTGCAACCCAGGCACATGCCCTTGACCGGAATCGAACCTGGGACCCTTCAGTCCGCAGGCCGACGCTCCATCCACTGAGCCAAACTGGTTTCGGCCCTTTACATTTTTTACTCAGCCCCACAACCTCCCCTCTCTGGCAACCATCAGTCTGTTCTCTATATCTATGAGCCTGTTTCTCTTTTGTTTGTTCATTTATTTTTGTTCTTTAGATTCCACTTACAAGTGAAATCATATAGTATTTGTCTTTCTCTGACTGGCTTATTTCACTTAGCATATTACCCTCTAGATCCATCCATGCTGTAGCAAAAGGTAAGATTTCATCCTGTGGCTGCGTAATATTTCATTGTAAATATTGAGAGCAATTTCAGAAGTCTGAATTGTCCTATGTTGTACCCAGTCATTGTACAGTGCTAAATGTCCTGTGTCATTCCTCCCATCAGACACAGGCTTCTGAGTACATATTTCCTTTCTCCTGAGACCAGTAGAAACAGATCTATAGGAAATGGGCAATAGACAGTTAAAAAATGTTGCAGTGGAGTAAAGCACTTCTATCTGTTTCACCAGTTCATCTAGATTTATTGCATATATGTTCTCATTTTCCTTGGGTGACTTCATGAATCACTGCTGTCCGTGATCTCAGTTTTTGTGTTTCCTCTTACGTTGGGAGCCTCTGTTGTGGGCTCATCTCTGCTTTTACTCTAGGCTACGTTGTGGCATTAGTCTAGATTCTCCCCCAAATCTGACCTCAGTGATTATTTTTTGTTGTTGTTGCTTGCTGTTCCTAATTTACTAAATGTTGAAACACATAAGGGATCAGGCTAAACTGATGGCAAAAGCATATAGTAATTTTCAAAAGACTTTGATGCTGATGTTAAGAAGTGAAAACAAAAAGCAATGAGCAAATGGTTGTTTAGGCACCAACATTTAAAAAAATTAGCTAGAAATAAATTGCCTTTACCAGAGTGGTTATCAAATACACACACACACACACACACACACACACACACACACTCTTATTTTTACATCAAAGTGTCTTGCACATCTAAGCCTGACAAGCATATACCTGACTGCATTGTGCTGTATAATACCTTTCTTTTCTTTTTTTTTACTTTTTTGATTCTGATCTGAGGATATGTTTATTGATTTTAGAGAGAAAGGAAGGGAGAGAGAGAAACATTGATTGGTTGCTTCCCATATGTACCCTGATCAAGGATCAAATCCACAAACTTTTGGTGTATGGGACAATGCTCCAACCAACTGAGGCACCTGGCCAGGGCCAGAACACCTTTATTTGCTTGTAAAGGTGGCTTTACATGTTCACTTTAGATTTATTGCATTTGTCCAAGAGTTTTAAAAATTCTTTTAAGGGGCATGGCCACACATTGTGTTTCCATTGGTCTCCCAAAGCATGCTAAGGGCAGCCATAAGCAGAATCTCTTATTGTACGAAGTCAATGGTTTATATTTAAATAAAATCTAATTCAATGTAATAATTTTTTATTATTCCATTATACACAATTTAATAAATGTTTGATTTAGATAGTAAGTAAAAATCCAGTCTCACATAAATGTATCAACACAGTTTTCTTTGGCTTAGAATAATTTTAAAGATAGAAGAGGGAATATGATTCATAGTTTTGTTACAATGCTACTAACAATGCAAATTCATGACAAAATCTATATTTGACATGTCTATAAAGAGGCGTGCACAGTGCTCCAAAGCCTTCCCCTGATTTAGTAGTCTTCAGCATCCCCAGCACAGATGGCAAGCAGCGCTTTCTCATAGTGCCCTGAAGCAAAATTCTGAAAGAAATAATGCATTTTAAATAAAATGTCACAATATTTCTAAAAAGAAGCATAACTTCTCTGAACTACAGTATGAAAGACCCATGGGCTATTAGCCTATTCAAAAGTGTTTACTTTTTCATCTAAAGATTTAATGTTTCCTGAGAATTATTCCCAGTGGAAGTTGCTGAAATATAATACCATGGTCGATAGAATGGGGTTTATATAAAGTTGATTGAACCCTAATGTGTATTTATAAGAAGAGTAATTTGAAGTAGCATTAAATCTTCTTCTCAACTTTAGAAAGAAGTGTCCTAATATTGCTATAAATCTTGATAGTGTCTGGGGGGGGAGGGGCAAATTGGCAATATGCCTTAGAAAGACTTCTAAATGTTAACATTAATCAATGAAGTAATTCTATTTCATGAAATCAATCCTAAGGAAATAATTATCAATTTTTTATGAGCATGAAGATTTATGCTATAATATATATAATAGTGAAAAATTAAAAAGCAATATGTAATAATGTGGAGTAGTTCACGTACTTTCCAAGTTATGCAATAAAAATACTCCTCTGAGTGGTAAAACATATTCATATTTATATATATTTTTAAAAAGACAGAAAGCATCTAAAATAAATTTTATGATGGTTTTATCTGTGGTTACAATTAGGGTAACTTTTATCTTCTTTTTATTCCCTTCTATTATTTCTAAGTTTTTCAAAACAATGATAGTAGTAAATAAATGGAATTCTAAAACCTGTCTTTGTTAAGAATCAATCATCATATTAATGTTCTCTTATACAATGTAATGTAATTATAATTTACTTCTTTAAACCAACATAGTAAAGTGGAATATTAATACGTAAATATTAGATTTTGACGTGGCTGTAATTATTTGCAGTAAATGTATTATAATTAGAAAATGAGTTATGACATACATTTCTCAATGAGTAATGTTTATCATCACTAAAAATTTAGGGTTTGAAATGGGTTAACAAGAGTTTAATCAAAGACACAGGGATAAGATTTATCTCAACTGGTCTACCAAAACTCTTCCTCCTAAAAACCACTTTGGCTACTCAAGGGCCTATCAGGTCTTCTGTTTTTGTGGTCTCTTGATCGTTGGGTTGTTGAGTTGCTTCTGGATCTCGCTTTCTATTAAAAAGCCATTCGTGCAATTGAAAATTTCAGTGGAAACCATTGTGAACAGGTAAGTATGTGGGAAATAGAATTTAAAATATATCCTCAGGGCCTGTGTTTGGTTTAATGTTCCACTGGTGCCATCTTGAAATTCTTTATAATTTTTTGTAAAAGGGACCAAGCATTTTCATTTTCCATTGGCTACCACAAATTACATAGGTGGTTCTAAACGGTATGATAATTCTTTGCTAGGTTTTATCAAAATCCAGGGTAAAGTTTAAACATATCAGAATGATAAAACTGGCTTGTTTACTTCTGAATCATTACTTCTTCCCCCTTCAAAAGCTAAAGGGATAGGAATGTATAGCATTTTACATACCAGCATTAAATTCCTCCAAATTACCATCTATGGCTGCCCTGCCTACTATGACAATATGAGAGGACAGCTGAACTGATCTTAGAAACCTTTTCACAATGTGGTCTTGTTGCAAAATGTATTTTTCTCAATGCTGGTCATACTTCAGTACTTCAGCATTTAGCTCATAAAACACAATTACACAATTAGGAAATTAATGCTGTGTGTGATTACATCAATGATGTTTGCTTAAAACATGTGAAAGAGGAATAAGATCTGTAACTGATGTGGAGGGATTTCCTCAGCACTGTTGTTGCACTGACTGCCTGATGTACTGAAGTCCATTATCCCTGTCAGTTTACTTAACTTTTTAGATTATAACATGAAGT